GAAATACAGCTGGTTTCATGAATGTATAAGTATATCTGTGTTCTAATACCTGGCGAGGATCAATATCTGGTTATCGACCCATTACCAGCTCTGAAAAATGCTTACTTTGCTCGGATTTTATGTTCCTTGGGCGGTCAGTGATTATGAAACCCACGGTTCTACACATTGTTTTCTCTCTAATTAATACAGGAGGACTTCTTCCCTTGTTTGAAAACTAGGAGTTATGACTGAGATCAGTCGGGGAGAATTATATCTGGTTTTTATACGCCAACTAACACATCAGTAAATCTACTCAACAATTTATGAACACCATCCCTATATACTCTTGTCCCTGGGTCTAACTTTCATTGCTACCCTTCCCTTTTACAGGTTACCCACAACCTTTCAAACTACTGTGTTCCACTCAGAATGAAACTGGATAGCTTGCATCTGAGGAATAACTGGAGGCTAATTGAACTATTCTTATAAGGGTTTCACCTATCGTTAGACTCGTTTACCCTCCGTCTGAATTGCAAATCTCTCGAACTTGACAACGGTCCTACTGGCAGATTGACTAATGTCTGAAATTCAGCCACCGACGCAATTATGTGACGGTCAAGCGTCAATTCAATAGGTGAGAAGGGTTGCAGGATGTGGCATGTCCTATCTGACGGGCATGAACCTCATCAGGTAGAATTGAACCAACTAACATGCTATATTATTATCCACCAGTCAGTATGAGCCTGAATTCTACTGATATTGCGAAATCTACCGATTTCACAGGCTTGGAACAAAAATAAGTTGCATACTTTAGAACCGTCATTCTTGATATACTACTCCATAAAACATTACTATTTACTGCATTACTTTTTCGGCGGAACTCAGATGTTAATTACCATCTTTTTAAAAGTTTTCAATTATGTAGTTTGCGCATTCATCGAGTCAACACCCAGCACATCTAACAGGAAATAAATTCCCACTATATAGAAATTTATACTACCCTTAGGATTGAAAAACCAAAAGCAGTAGAACAAATGCAAAAAGTTCAGAAATTGTGTAACTAGCGTGATACCATTATCGGAAAGAAGTTACACTTCAAACACTATCCAGTATCACTTTGCTGTATAAGATAAACTTATCTAATATGGAATTAAATCTCACCGCGAACCGCATAGGTTCAGCTCTTACATAAACTAGATATTTGCGAACTAAGATTTACATACTCACTTAAAGTTGATGAAATAAAGAGTTATATATGTCGTGGATTCTATACATTTCAAATATTCTCCAATACTGAGGATTTATTAATCATAATCCAGTGACATGCAGAAATGTGGCTGTGTTGGTTCACTGACTTACGCGTATAACTTCCAAGCAACGAGTAATCGTTTTAACTACTTCGGAGTGGGCCACAGGTTGGTGTCGTAAGCCTTAGTAAAATATGTATGGCTTATAGCCTAGTGCATTACACTACTCTTGTTAACGTTATTCCGCTGCATTGACGATCACTTCAAGTAAAAGCTCGGTTTGCTTCTCTATGACAAACATATGCATCCGTCTGTGTCCGGGCTGTATCATAGTCGACATACAACTCAGGGTTAGAGACTAAGTGATATCTCATTTTTACCTTGATTTCGGCTGGTTGAAGTCCCGATCCGGTTAAACATGAGTTTCGCTATTATATACGTTAACTTCTCTACCAATTACCCTAAATACACATTGTAATGCTAGCTAGAGATGTGGAGGCAAATGTTGGAGGTTTAGGTCCAGGAGAACGTTTAATTTACTTACAGAGGTTAGTAATTTTCAGGTCTTATAGTGGGAACGATCTTCGTGAACTTTGTGTCAACCACAAACTATTTCTAGCTAGCTCCAATATCCCCTAGTGTTACTTGGTGTCTCACTTCTATGATTCAAGCTTGAACCTAAACAGATCACATCACAACTAGCCACCGATGGAGTGCATGTATTCAGAACTGGTGTTCCAATGGGAACACTTGTCGGGACTCTGACCACGATCTCTTAGGTGCTAAGTTCGTTTGGGATTTTGGTGATTAGCAAAATCGTCGTCGGGAACGGTTCAACGTAAAAAATTGATTTCCCTTAGTAACTAAATACCCAACCAAGCTTAGTTCAAGCCTAGCTGTCAAACCTATAGAAAGTATAGGCGAGCATCGGCTCCACTTACAAGACGTTGTGAAGAAGGCGAGTAGAGCCGCCTGAGACTTCCAGAAACATCCCGCTGGTTAACACTAGATCCCTGAGGGCCTCTCAAAACTTCTTGATGTTTGTCGACTATTTTGGCATCCGTCTAATACAACAGTATGCTTGATTTCCTTTATGTTGCAGATCATACAGTACTAAAGCATTGGGAGGTTCGGTAGTCAGAATGCACGAGAGGGACGAAAACAGTAGCTGCATCTGGAAATAGTAAGAAGTGGATCCAGAAACTGGTAGCAAGACACGTTTCTTCAAAAAGACAACCTGCGAAGTAGGTATCGCAGTGATAGCCAACTGTCATGGACACATAAGCTGGTGTTAGTAGGGGGGCGGAAGCAACTCAAAATGCAACATACTGCATTTTTGCTCCAGTAACGTCGAGTTTTATATCTTGTGCTACATGGTCAGTCAATACCAACTAGCTTTCCGAAGCGGTTCCTAAGGAACTCAGTGCTAAAGTGTCATTAAGGCACCCCCAGCCACATGATGTATCTCCTGCTGTTCTTAGGGATTCAGATGATACTGCGGTCAAGGAATTGACAATATTGTTCAAAAAGGTATTGTAGACTGAGCATTCCGTTAATTGGAACGAAGCGATTGTAGTACCTAACTTAAAAGAGTGTATGTAATGTTTGAGATAATCGTAGGGGGATCAGCCTGTTACGGACAACGTAAGAAGGTTGCCTGATGCACGAAACAAGTGAAAAGCTGACCTATGAAGAGCAGGCCAGATTCTGTTCAGTTCGTGGAGGTATTGAACATATATTCACCTTCCAACAGATGTTCGAAGACTGTTACATGTGTTGTAGACAGATAATCATTGTACAGCTCAATAATAGTGCTGCCATCGATTCGTTGCAAATGGCTGTACCGTGGAAGTATCTGTAGTATACGGATGTTTGTTAACATATTCAAGGTCCTATGCAAAGACACCTAGGGTTTGAGAAAGATTACACAATCATTTCTCCTTTCTGTTCATAACCAACAAAAGGTTTCGTAGAATATATTACTGAATAAAACGAGCATTTAGAAATCGCTAGTGGCAGATTTCACTGTCTCTTCTGGCTAGCATAACCTACAGGCCAACATGAGTGGTTATTATTTAGTAGCATATTTTGTCAGTTCATGACACTTTTGTGTCACACTTTGTAATCTTGGATGGGTAGGTGATGTAGTGTGCTTTTGGACGTCATGGATACAACCTTTATTAAGTGGGTTCGCCATGAAGCATCGACTTCGATGCCTGATCATAGTCTGTCCAGTCTGTTGGTAGGTCGCTTTGAAAAATGTTAGAGGTGGACAGTACATGAAGTCGTTGAATGCTGGCCTGAGTCGTGTAGGGAAATGAAAACTTCTCGGTTGAAGTCCACATAACAACTGAAGTTGGTTGCTTGAGGCTCTACGTGATAAGCCTCAGAATCGATCTCACTAGTGCAGAGGTATCCACACATTGTCTTCATCTTGGTCACCACTCTGAATCTCATTCCTTCTTGTTGTCTGTTCCTTCACATTCTTGGTGCAGGACTAAACGTTTGCAAAAGCCATGTTTTCCCAACTAACCAATATCCCTAATCGTAGCAGATATATTTATGGATACTTGGGAAAACATGGCTTCGCAAACGTTTAGTCCTGCACCAAAAATATGGTCACGATATGTCGATGACATACTGTGTTGAAATCGGAATATATCGGCAATTTCCTCACACATAAACTCAGTAGTAGGCGCAATCCAATTCACTTACAAGGTAGGAAATGAACAAGGAAAATTGCCTATGTTGGATTGCAGGATAAAACGAAGGACAGACGACGGTTTGCATACTACCATCTACAGAAAACCGACACATTCCAATGTCAATTAAGGCAGGTCTAGTCAAATGTCTAAGTGATAGAGCTAGGAAACTCACTAGTCAGTGCAAGCCTAAACAAGGAATTGAAACACGTAAAAGAAGCGCTAACAGTTAATAATTATTCTCCACAGTTTATCAGGAAATTCGTACGGACACACAAGAAACGAAAAGACAACAGTCACACAAGTACGAATAATAACGACAACACAAGTAGAAAGGAGTTCACAGCCTGCTTTGTGTTACCCTGTAAGGAAGGTATATCAGAAACTTTACGTAGGATCCTCAACAAAGCAGGAATTAGGGTGGTATTTAAACCTGCAAACTCACTCAGCGATAAGTTTTGTCGGGTAGCTTAAGGATCCGATAGAACCAATTAAGTAAAATAATCTAATCTATCAGATTCTATGTAATGACTATGAGGTCAAGTACATAGGTCAAACTAGCCAGTCGGGGTCAGTTAGAATAGGCGGACGTATGGATTTAGCCAAAAATAGAATGACAGACCAGAATAAGATCAATAATCTAGAAAAAAAAACCCGGCTACTGCAATGCACGCATTAACAAACATCCACACAAAAGGGTGGGATAAAGCCACTGTGCTACAAAAATCAGATATGGGAAGTAGTGTGATTACATTGATATGATTACGAGGAATAGTAATTTATGCTCGAAACGTCATCAAGTAAATAATTCTATATCACTGTGTGTTATAAATCAAATAAACAAATCTAATATGGAATTATATTCTACCAGTGTCCAAGTTTTACACCTATAGTAAGAAGAGAATACTTTTGTTTTTAATTGCGAAGTAGCTACCCGGTGAATGCACTCAGTATAAAAAGCAAAGCCTTCATGGACGTACACATTTTCATGCAAAACTGAATGAAATTATATGATGGTAGATTGAACTTAACTGTGTAGTTGACCGCCATATCTCTAATTTTCTTTTACTAGCCTTGACAACCTACAATCCTTGCATAACTGCGCTTGACAACCTGTTGAAGCAGCAAATCAATCTCACTAGAGAATTTCTGACAACACAAAGAAATCTGCACGAAACAATCAGTAAGGCGATAAGTCAGTGTGTTACTAATGATTACACTCAACATGAAAGAACAATAGAAGTAAGTCGCATTGATTAGTATTACATTCTTAGCAGATAAAGTCGGGAAAGAGAAAATGCTTCGGTACAAAAAGTAGAAATCCACTTTTAAGTGTATCATATTATGAGCATTACCAATGAAACTCGAGTTTGTATACATCAGAGTGAGATATATTTCCGAGTGATTAACAAAATAACTAAGTTCACTGTGTTATTTTCAACGGCGTAGTGAAAATACGTGAAGAGTTACAATAGTCCGATTTCACAGTTGAAACGGTTGCGTAAACCTCGCTTAAGTTTCGCACATAGCTTTCTTGATAAATCTAGATAATGTAGGCTTAACAGTTTTTAGAATAACATGAATTTCATTGTCTTCCATTCACTTCTTTTCAACTGTTATGCACACTTTTAAAAACTACATGATGAATTACGAGAGGAATCAAAATAGGGTTGACAGTCACGAAGTTCATAATTCCAACTAACACATCCTGAAAAGTTTGATAACTTCTTCACGAATGAATCAACGCTATCAATGATGCTGGGGCTATAAATAAAGACATATAAGAAATAAGAATTCACATTTTGCATGTTTATACGGAGGGAAATGTTCAAGTTCCACTTCAAAAGCTACGTGTAAGTCAATCGCACAAGTGTTCATAACAAGCTTGGTATGAAAGATCAAACAGGAGTCATTGAATGAATGATGTGTATTCATAGGAACTCAGTTGCGCGCAGTAGATACCTGGCATAAAATCTTACTATGTGACAGCTAAAAAGTGATACCCAGTCACAACTAATTAATAAGAACGAAACGAAATGCACTCAACCACCTTGTGCACATTCATACAGTAGACAATGAGCCACGCCTATTGTGTGAGAGCTATTGATACTATCTAGCTGCTCAAACCTCGGTAAATGAAGTAAGGTTCGAACCCGTGACCCATTGGCTGAAAGTAATCTCCCTAAACCAATGAGCCACAGCTCCACAAGATGAGTAACTTCATTAAAAATAATATCGGTAGCCTAGTGATTCAATACACATAAATTTTTTATGCATGCTAACTATCATAGACCTTTTTTGTATTTCTTCTTTCTTAATATAGATTATGCTGAGAAATTACACGACAGAATAACTAACACTGATCCTTCAGCATAGGAGAATATTTAGTGGACATGAACATTGCGGAATGTTATTCTCTAGTTTCTTAAACACACTAATATAAAACTTGAACTGTGACAATTGACTGACTGGCATAAAGGGTTTGGAGAATAAGCTTGCTAAAGAATACTTATGATCACAGTTTACATACTACACGCCAAACAGTTTTTCAGCAAAAAGTCTTATCCTCATTTAAAATTTCCATAGTTTAAGTATCACAAGAGAGAATGATGTTAGGCTTTGCAGAATGCGTGATCTACGGAAAAATCCCATTTCACAAGCATCTCAAACAACAAAGTATTCTAGTATTAGTTACACTAATGAAAATTATCTTTACATAGGAAATATATGAACAAGTGCTGTTCATAATACGAAATTTATTTACAGATAAATTTTTTTCAATTACAAATCAGTGTGGAAGTAAGGGTGCCAAACGAGACTGTTTAGCTTTGCGTTTTTTAATTCGTTTATCTCGGGCTGTAATGAGTTCATCGAAAAGATCAATTTGTTCAGCTTCTTGCAGCTTCCTTGCCAGACATTCTAAACCTGCCAAATTCATCCCGATGAGATTCTGAAATAGCAAAATCGTAAATGTAGTGATTTCAAAATATTTTATACTGTTACTATAGAAATAATAATCAAATGTAGGCATGTGAAGCAATTATTTGATTTTATGATTTCATAATTATAGCAGGGAATACTATCAACTAGGGATTGCAAGTACCACTGAGTATCCATTTCTCCGATAGTAGCATATTCATAATAAAAATTGCAATGTCCATTACGTAAACATTCTAGCGAATGTTTTTAAGATATGCTAATTCTTTTCACTCAATAACAAAATTGGTAAATACAATCATTATCAAGACAATGTTCTCCATTTTATCCTATGTTCACACTTACCACTCGGCAAAAAGTTTAGATACTCTGTATCAATAACGATCAGGGAAGCATGATAGTAAAAACAAGGATAACACTAAATTGCACAGTAACCAACGTTAAACCATATACAGACAGAGACAGACAGATAACATGTGACACGGTTTAAGCTGCCATATCTCATATATCAGCATACCAAGATAAAAGCAGTAGTAAAAAGTGATGGAAAGATGTGAACGAACAAGCAAAAAGTAGGAATGAAATTCAGGATGATAACGAAGAAGAAGATAATGTGTGGATACCTCTGTACCAGTGAAACCGCTTTTGAGGCTAGTCACCTAGTCTTCGACTATCGATTTCGGTTGTCACGCAGCTCACATATGATCAGTTACCATCTTTTTAAGCGACTCGCATTAACAGTCAAAGACTTTATGGACTAATGCCATGTTTTAGTCTGGCTGTCTGTTACTTTTTTCCCAGCCTAAATCCACTTCGGGTAACATTTAGTGATGAGGCAGGTGGTAACTAGACATGAGCAGCACATATACGAGCCATCTCAGTGGATGAAGGTTCATAACGTCACCAATTGACTTCCTCTCCTTCCTAAAATGATTCTCCTGACTTACATTACTGACGCGGTGTCACCACGATACACGGCCTATGCTACAAAGGCAACAGTGATCGCCACCTGAAGTTTCTTGATCCCTGCCTTCAATGGCCATGTTTCACAGCCATAAAGTAAACAGAGAGAACTTCCAGCGCAGTACACTCTACTCTTAATAGGGAATATAGCTGCGGGACCACAGGACAGCTGCAAAAGTCAGGCGAGCCTTTTGCATCGGTGCAAAAATTTCGTCGACGACTGACCCACCAAGGCTGATCTGACTTCTTAAGTAAGTGGTCAACGCGCTCAGCCACTTTACTCCCTGCTGTTACCAGGGGCACGGCTGACGACTAGTTCTCCAGTAAGAAATTGCATTTGAATGTCGAGAAACGCACATCTCAAACATTCTCAAGGTGTCCAAAAAAATCTACATCTTGTCAGCATCTTCACCGAACAAGATTATTTCATCTTCATACTCTACATCTACAGGGTGTTCCAGTGATAGATCAACAATATCTGTGAAGTTAACCAGGCGAGGAGATCTTCTGCACTCAGCATGCGAAACAAGATCCGGATTTTCAACACCAACGTCAAGTCAGTGCTTCTGTGTGATGGTTCAGAGACTTGGCGCGTCACGAAAGGGATTTCCAACAAACTACAGACATCATCAACAACTGCTTACGCTCGCTACTGAAGATCAGATGGCCAGAAAGAATAAGCAACAAGGAGCTCTGGGAACGAACCAACCAAGAACTTATCACGCAACAAATATGCAGGAGGAAGTGGAGATGGATTGGCCATGCACTGAGAAGGCCGACTGAGGACATCACGCGTCAGGCCAGTTGCTCGAGTGGAATCCCCATGGGAAGCGACGAGTTGGACGTCCGAGGGTGACATGGAGGAGATCGTGCGAGGAGGAAATGAGAGCTGTGGGCTGTCGTGGAACCAGGTTCAAAAGATCTCAGAGAACAGAGGTCACTGGAGACGTGCTACTGAAGCCCTATGTTCCACTAGGAACCCAAGGGACTGATAATAATAATAAATCAAGGAGATAGATTCTAGTGTAATGCACACCTAATGTGCAAGCTAAGTATTAACCAACTAACTGGTTGGTGAGCTTATAAACCTCAACCCATCAAGGTAGTTGGAATATGTAATGGATTCTTGCCTGCAACTTACACCAACACATGTTACACTGGGTAAATGCTAAAAGTAGACAAATGAAGACATGGCCCTAAAGCAAGGTGTCTCCCTCTGTTGGTCTGGTTGTTGTTGGAGTCGGCGTGACCACCGATGAAAATGGCTGTGATGTGATTCAAAACCAGTAGTGATGCAGATGAGAAGAAAAAACACTAGATTTCGAGTGGCAAAGTCTGACAGCATCAAGAAATGCTTGTATGGTTATTTTAAAAAACTATTCCAGGTAAGCATGTATAAACACTTACGGTTCTAAATGTGAAGTAAATCGTCTTTGACAGTTACCGAATTGTAGTTCCCATAAGCGAACTGTTTTATCAGTGCTACCTGTAATGATAAGACGACTGTCCGAAGAAATGTCCAAGCTAGTCACTGGAGCAGAATGACCATATAAAGAGTGTATTCGCTAAACATGAGAAGGAAAAAACGATATTATGCATAAAAGGAATTCGTCTGCAGGAGTTTAAAACTGTCAATGAAAGTATGAAAATAGCACTTAACTGCATTGTAATCGAAAAACTTACCTTGAAAGAATCCATGAAAAACACGTCTACATGAAAATTCATTAGCGCAACAACTATCAGTCGATTATTTGGTGACACAGTCAAACAACTAATCTGATCAGAAACAGTTTTCATTGGACTACTTTCAACTAAGCAGAGACTTGGCTTCCTGAAAAATAAGCGTAAATGAACAAAGTACATATAACTTAGTAAATATATGTGTATATCGACTACAAACTCTAACTTCCACGACAAATTGAACACTGACACAAGCAAAACATAATGTGATATTACCATGTAAAGATTAAAATTTTCGTATGTGAGGTGAGTATATCGACGTAGAAGTCCAAAGGAAAAAAACAAAATAACACGGGGTCTTGGAGAACGCCATGAGGAATACATCCATCTTATTTGAAAGAAGAAGGACCCATATCGCCACAATTAATTTTGAACATCAAGTTATGCACATTGGCAAGTAATATTGTGAGAAACTTTCAGTTTTCCTGAACTTCAATTCGAGTGACACATCACAAGCTGTATCATGCTGATGTAAATTTGCACAAGTGATACAAACAAAACCACCCCACTCCTATGTGAATAAGGTATACTTATAATATGCTTGTAGTTAATATGCAGTGGCGTAACATGTTTGCGTGTCTTTATACCTAAAACTACTCCCAAGTTATCATTGGTTTCTTCGGTTACGGTTGGAGGTTGCAAAATCCAACTGAAACAGAATTTAGACGATGCAACAGACCATGAATGTCTACAAGTATTTTGCAGTAGCCAATATAATTAAGTTAACCACATACATGTAAGTATTTACCAACTCTTACAATACTGCTTCTGATATATACTAACAAAGGAGAAAGTGAAATAGTTGCCACATTTCACAGCAGAACTCAAAGAACAAGTGGTTAAAGTAGACAAAAGTACATAGAAGGAGGAAGGAGAGATAAATGAAAGTAAGTAAAAATATTTAAACTTTAAAAATTTCAAATAGTGAATATATCTGTGCCATTGTGACAAATTTTCAGTCATGTGACCAAAGATATGCAACTGCCGGTCCCTAATATCTCAAAGACCCTAATCAGGCAATCTACACTTTCCTAAAAAGGCTATTACCAACCGCCAAAAAATTCGGAGTCTAGTGCTACATCTTAATCTAACCACCATTAGCCTTTTTTTCTACCCGATACAATTTCGGTTAGCATTGCAAGAAGAGGTAGGTGGTTGCCAAGCATACGCTACACATCCAAGCCACGTAGAAATCGAAGAATACTTGGCAACCGCATGCACGTGCGTGGATTATGTAATGAGCTGCACTTAGTACGTGAGGGCCTCGGGAAACAGAACGGGTTCGGACCCGTAACACGTCGGTTGGAACCAATGTACCTAGGACCAATGAGTCACAGCTTCATATGCCAGTCAGCGAAGAATGACCAACTCAGCGACTGACCTGCCTGCCTTGTCCGTTACTTCATGCTTAACCTTGACGTTACTTAAACGATGATTTTAATACACGTGAGGATTACTTAGCAGTCATCAATGACCAAAATCTACCTTATTCATGCATGCATATCCTACAGCTACACAATAAATAGACCTGACAAATGCATAGTAGTTTTTTAATAGGTAGTTACACATTTCACTGGCATCAGATATAATGTAAATTGACAAAGGGTAAGTGAACCTGCATGACAGCTGATATGTCGTCAAACCAAGGCAATAGATCCCGTCAAATAACTCCATATCCTTAAACTAAGAGTAACTACAGAATAGTCCTCAACCATCAATATTACACTTGACAGAAGAAAAACCAATGCCACCTTAACATACTCAAATTTATGCTGAAGACATCCAGATAATTCCGCATTTTGTCAGTGCCTTTCCCTAATAAGACAATGTCATCTGCGTACTCCAAGTCAACACCTACTCTTCATGAGTAAACCAATACGGTAAAGTTGCTGGCGCCAGGGGTCCTGTCCATTAGCACGTCTACGGCAAAGTCAAACAGCAGTGCTGACACAGACTGTCATTCCTAAACACGTTAACTCTCCATAAGCCATCATACGACTGCATCAGTTCGAGTGGGCAACTTTGATTAGCATTGCATACTTACTCAGTACCACCTTCACAGTCAGACTACTACAACACCCCGTCAGTCGACAGAGTTGAATGTTACCTGTTCCAGAACCTGTAGGAGAATGAACGTCTGATCGATGCACTCTTATCCGGGACTGGAATCTGCTTGGTTTCTCGAGTTTCAGTCAAACGTCATATAACTATTGGCAATCGGATTTTAGAAATTACGCTAGGACGATTGATCACCCTATGGTTTTCACAATAAACAATTATAAAACACTTCAGTGTGAAGGACATACGACTTTCAGTCAGCCTCAGACACCGGGGCCTGGATAACCATGTAGTTATTTCCCCTTGTATACAGAAAGCGACTCATATTCAAGTGTATACACCTGCACAGAATCGCTGTTTTAATAATTTGCCAGCCGCCTATCTTGAGAGTTTATCACAGACCCATGCTTTTCGGCCAGTCTCACTAACTATCGTTTTCTGCTTGCTCTTGCCAAGCATTACCTACTTGTAATGCCTTCTCCATCTTTTTCATCCAGATGAAACCACTAGCCCGCAGACAACAGGTGTGGCTAAATATCAAATGCATGAAAAATTTCAACTCTTGAAGGAATTTTTCAACCCTATACAAAGGTATACAATTCAGGTGGAATGGCTTTAAGCATATGAAATATCGATTCATTAGTTTGTAAAGACTCAAGCATGAAATCTAAATCTAGTTAGCATTACATTCAAATGAATGAGTTATGAATAAGTTCCCGAGACAGCTGATGAAATTGCCAACCTCAAAGTATCGATGCGTGACAACAAACAGCAAGGATCCCACAACTCAATCATTCTGATAGGGTGTTAAAAGAGTATGATTTCCATGAATCACAGAAAAAACCATACACGGTATAACTTTATGAGAGAAAAACACTCAATTTACTCGATAATAAATCAGGGAACAAGAAAATAAGTACTTACGCGTTGTCAAGAGTTCTCAGATGAAAATCGTGGAAGCGCACTTGTTTGTCAGAACCACCAGATACAATTCCTTTCTAAAATTGAAAAGATAAATACATCTAACATATTAGGTTGTCAATAGGAATTATTTTTACCAATAACAGACAGGGAAATTAAATCTACGTAGAACCTCATACGTGTGCATCAGTTCAAGTTGTTATACATCACAGCAACATACAAAGAGAAATAAACGTTAATAAAAATGCCCAGGCTTTAGAAGATGTCAGTCAAAGAGTGAATACATCTTCGTTATGGCAACTGATTTTCGGTCATGTCACCAAGCAGGCCATCAACCGCTGATCCCCATTATTTCCACAAAACCTTTTGTGTCCGAGATGAGATTTCGTCAGAAACCAGGCCATCTGGGCTGACACAATCGTCCTCCTAGACTTATATTGTCAATGTATAGATAGATCACCAACACTTACGCCTGCTTATTAGCTAGTGGAACCATTGAACCCGATCAAAAAACATTGCTAAGTCTTGAAAGATATATTTACAATACACGATTTAGACAAATTAAGTGCTCTTACGTGTTCAATCGAAATTCACAAAGGAAATTCATTGTTTCAGATTCATATTATCTTCACCTTCTTACACGGCTCCGACCAATAACTAGGAACCACTGGTAGGAGTATGTCTCAATATATCTACACCGTGAACATAGCATCCAATGGACATGTATTGAAAAGTTTTTTCTCGACTTTTTGGTTCGAGGCTGCTTTTCTTGCTGTTTTAACTTCGTGAAAGTGAATAACTACCATACTTAGACAATACATGTCAGTGTGAACATATTTTGTAGTCAAAAATGTTAACATAGACAAGTGAAGTGTTTAACCGTTATTCATTAGACTTGAGCATTATATATCAGAGCAATGTTTACTTTCAAACTCATTTAGTAGGACGTTTCACATGATGGTAGGTGGGTTATACCACTCTAATTTCGACATAAGGAGGATGATATAAACAAGGAAACATGAATAGCTTAGTTGTGCATCACTGTACCAGATAAACACCAAACCCATATATATTCGGGACGTCACAAAACTAATGGATGAAACAGATACTAGAACACATAATCTGCTTAAGGAAGGCAGACAAGATGCGGGGTTCAAGTAAGTTTCTCAAAATTAATTTATGTTCAAAAACAATTCATAAGTAATTGTAAGAACATAGGAAATTAGACACAAATCTTAACTCGGAAATACTCCTAATTTATCAGTAATTGTAAATTATTGATAGGCTTATTTTGGTAAAACAATAGGAAGGCATAAGTTGTCTGAATCGTGTAATGTATTTGTGCAACACATTCCAAAGTGGCTTGAGAAACAACTAATGCTGAAAACAAAAGTCCTAGCTCCTCAGCAGTTAAAAATATTACTGAAACGGGGGATAAAATGGATATACAAGCGTCATTTAAGTCCATCTATAAGATCTGTGGGGGGACGTATTCTATAGTTTGTTGAAGCATTAGTCATTAGAAGGTTGAAGTCGACTTTATGCGTTCATAAACAACTTGTCACCACATTTAACCTTCTTGGTAAATTAAGCCTTGAACTCGAGGTTATTTTACGATTAACTTCTTCCTATTGTTTTATTGATCTTCATTGTTATTTTGACTTCCAGTATAGTCTTCTCATCTGACGGATATTTATTTTCGTACCCCTTAACTCTAATTTTTAACATAAATACCTATGACAAGTACGTATGTGGTCAGATCGTTCGGAATGTATTGTGCAAATACATCACACGATTCAGAGGGATTATAGCTTCTTTCTGTCTTATCAAAATACACTTATTAGCTAATAAACTGAGTTGTCGTCAACGGTATTAGCAAAAATGACAAATGAAGTGTTTTTCAAACTGTATCAATAGTTCATCGCAAGGGATTTTCCACTTAGAGTACAACTATCAGTTGAAAGGTCAGCTTCTTAATCTCGAAGTCGAAAGATGCTTGTTAACATTTAGAATAGAGATAACCAGATCATCACGAAGTGTAGGAGTGAGAGTTATCCTAAACTCATTCATTTTCGGCAGTTGTTTAGCTTATATCAACCTGAAATAATAAAAAAACTAGTTTCACGAATAAACGATTGAAAAATAGTTTGAGTATAATTTCCTCAAAGATTTCGTTTATGGAGATAATTCTCGTAATGGTCAGTCTACGCAACTCATTGTACATAGGCATTGCATACAAAGAGGAAAACATTTTTACAGCGTTTCAGCATGCTGAGATTGATTTACCAATGATAATGAATAGGAAACTAACAAATTAAATATCATAATTACATCAGACCTACCTTATCTCCTGTTAGAGCTAGAGTGCGTACGGCTCCATTGTGAGCATCGTCAATGCTTTGAACTATTAATTTGGAGGTCAAATCGAATAGTAGTAAGTGACCAGTCTGTATAAAAGGTAATTTTAATGTAATTAGATTCATTACAAAAGCATAATCTAAATAACATGAATTCAGTTCCGCCTGTTACACCTCATAACAGGACTCAAAGTGGGGAAAAAACAGAACAAAGGCACTACATTACAATGCAGTAATACAAGCAATTATACTAAAACTATACCCGTCGCACAAGAAATGGATATCGTGGCTCGGTGGTGTAGTGGATAACGCGCTGGCGTTTGAAGTGATTGCTCCTGAGTCCAAATCCCGGTGGGAACAACATCACTCACTGGGAGACAGGTACATCCAGCTGACGAGTCCCAAATAGAACGAAATGCGCATCCTGGATTCCACTGCTAGCCACTATCCATCATTACTATAAGAGCATTACAGTTAACGAAAACTGTATGAGAGGAAGGGATAGGTAAATGAGCGTCAGCAAAATGTTACAAATTGCAAAGGCAATCAAGACCGATAAGAACTGTGTAACTCTGCTCAATTGTTAGTCATTTCATCGAGGTTTACAACCAAATAGTCCTAATACATACCTTGATGATCAAAACCAGAAAACCTTCATATCGCATGACTTCCAAGAGCAATCAGTGACTCTAAGGACTGTTGTTACGTACTTATGTAGCTGCTGTAGTTGGCACAACTTAATTCTGCTTCGGCTAAAATTGTGCATCAAGGTATGCTGTGATTTGGTTTCTACAACACATATACACACCACTTCAATCATTAAGAATTCAAAACATGATCGCCTGACTTCTATTCTTTTTTTCAGGTACCAGAACTACTCAGCAACACATTTTGGATCTTCCAGGAGACAATGTGATAGACCATCGAAAGAGTTCAATTTATCAAGTACATTGGACTTCTGTAAGACGGATTGGTTTAAAATATCAAGATGATTTCAACAAATATGCGTTTAACATTTAGCATATGCAGAAGATGACTAGTGTTTTTGACTGAATTGAGTGTAACCAGCGAATATATTCCTAGTACAATATTCGCTTAACTCTCGTTATACATGAAACGAAACAATGATGCCACTAATACACAATGTAATGAAAGAGCTAAACAATGCGTGAATGAGAAAACTGTGCCAACCATTTGTAGAAAAAACAACACTTGGTTTTCACAGATTTTACCGAGAATAGTAACAACGAGCGAATAGTGAATTAATTTACTGTACCTCGAAACCGATGGCAACATGACGATCGCCTGGGGCAAGTACCATTGATGATGCTTTAGACGGCATTGGTTTGTCTCCTGACACTTCAGCACTCCTATCGTCAGTAATACGCAACTGACTTTTCCATTCTAATGTGGCCAAACACGCTGTTGACCGCCTACATAAATTAAAAACATTAATTTAAGTAAGTATGCATGTCCTTGTTGCGACAAATGGATGAAATATGTAGAGAACCTGCGAACAACAAGCATAAAGTCACTAAAAGATGTGAACGAAAACTACTTCCAGCAGAAAATAAGCACTTAGTCAAACCAGATTGCCACCAAAAGCCATCATAGCCTGTCAATTTTTATTTACTTTGATTGATCAACAGTCCTGATCGACAAGCTGCTACCTTGATACGGTGGTCAGACTTGTCAATAGCAATTACCCGATGAGCTATATTGATTAGGATGAGTGTTTCGTAAAGTATTATAAAAACCAAATAGCCGTAGTTCCTTTTACACTTCCTAAAACAAAAATTAGGCGTCTTAAGGTGACCACAGCTTCTGACTCTGCCATCAATGATGACAAACAAAGCCAGAGCAATATCACACTCAATTTCACTAAAGCATACTTCCAATGTCACATTACGGCTTTCAAAGTCCAAAACTCATATGAAGTCGGATAACTAGCCTCGATTGTCAAAACTCTGGAATCTTGAGGTATGGATAAATGCCATTTTTGAAATGCGCTTACAGGATCCAAGTGTGGTTGTTTGTTTGACTTCACATGAACAATTTGGTGAGTCTACGATATCCATTCAGTGTTTAGCTCCCATGGACTAGCTGATATTGCATGGGATACTTCTTAACTGGGCACTAGTTAGTAGCAGTCGGAATGAATTTGTGAGAACCATAAAGGACAGGAGACTTCAACGCCCAAGTAGAGGAGCTGTCGAAAACTAGAAGCCGCTTAGTAGATATCAACAGAACCTCGTGCTGACCTAGTGACGATAATAATTATAACTTACAATTTCATTCTGATAATCACTTGTTTCGTGCCAGCTTTAACTTCAAATACAAGGATAGATATTATCTAACTGATAGATCATGTTGCAAAAAGTCATCGTATGACATGTGCTCTAGTTGTTGTAAATTTGGCCCAAAGTAGAGATTAAATAAGTTGTAAATTATTCTACTGACTACATCTTTTAAATATCTCTCCAGACGATGAAATCCATATCTTAATTATAACAAATCTAATTTACAGAACATCACCATGTGATTATTTAGAGATATTATCATTATTTGTCCCTTGGTTTCCTAATGGAACATAGAACTTCAGTAGCACGTCTCGACTGCACTCTCTTCTATGCAAACTTTTGAAACTGGCTTTATGACAGCCCACAAGCTTTCATTTATTCCTCACACGATCTCCTCCATGTCACCCTCGCCTCCGACGCCCAACTCGTCGTTTCCCACTTTTATCACACTCGAGGGCCCGGCCTGGCGCGTGATGTCCCCAGTCGGCCTTCTCAGTCTATGCCCAATCCATCTCCACTTCCTTCCAGTGCATATTTGTTGAGTGATGGGTTCTTGGTTGGTTCGTTCCAGAGTTCCTTGTTGCTTATTTTTATTATTCTGGCCATCTGATCTTCAGTATCGAGCAGAGGCAGCTGTTGATGAATGTCTGTAATTTGTTGGAAGTGCTTCTCGTGACACGCCAGGTTTCTGAACCATATAGCAGCACTGACTTGACGTTGGTGTTGAAAATCCTGATCTTATTCCACATGCTGAGTGCAGGAGATCTTCACACTGGTTTCAGGCTAATGAATGCCTGTCTTGCTTTTCCGATCCTGGCTTTGATGTCCTTGTCCGTGCAGCTTGTAGTTGAAACAATGCTACCTAGATAGATGAAAGAGGCTACTTCCTTCGAGTTCATTCCGTTGATGGTGATTGGTGTTTGTTGTTGTTGTTGGTTAGGTATCTTCATCGCCTCTGTCTTCTCTATATTCACTTGAAGTCCCGTCTTCGCTGCCTCTTCTGTCAACTTGTTAGTTAGAGATATAGATGGATTGTTATCAGCCGTTACTTTACTCAAAGTATTTTTGCAATCGACTTGCAAGATGTGAACAGATTTTTCAAGAACACCTGCGTTTAACAAACGATTCCATGAATACCGCCCTATTACTATCTAAGTCCTCACTTTTTACCCCATCAAATGAACACTCTTATCTTACAGTTAATTGCTGATACCTTCTACATTGCATCACCATTAACATAGGTTAGAGACTCTAAACCCATCAGAAGGAGCCTGATGAGCATTGTTAGGTTTTACTCGTGATTTTAAGATCCAACAGCAAGACCAAGATCGTCAATCATTGGATTGTGTAGTTTCCAAAGGATTTGACAGCTTGATATTAATTGTAAATATCATCACAGTATCTTACATAAAGTTTACTGTTTGCCAGTTTTACGACTGAATAGAAGAAGCGAAATACGACAAGTGCATGCATAGCACAACGTCGTAGAAACAAAGTTGCGGGACAGTGTGTTTAACCAACATCCAGTGAAGAACTAGAACTCCATGTACGAGGTTCGAAACCAGAGGAAATAATACTGTAGCTTCATTACTTTTTTCTGTCATCGAAAAGTACAACGAAACTAATAGCCACTTCCTTGAATGTACTTTTAAGATCGCTTTTTGATAATTTGTCTTTCCTTACCTATATATCGTTTTTGTCATCATAATGTCATAATACTGTATGCAATGAATTCATTTGGCACTCATGTTGTACGAAGTAGGTGCCTTAAACAAAGTATCAGGTCAAAATAAGTAAACAAAATAAATAATAAGAGCCTCATTGTAGAATAACAGAACACACTTCCCCTAACATCTGATGATACAACTTTTTAAAATATCACTGAGGAGAACCAAAAGTCGGCCATCTAAACTACATGAGATAGGCAAATGTTGACTAAAAATGTAGCACAGTATTCTAGGCTCCTAATTACTCATGCAGCAGGCAAGATGAACTGCTTCCCAAAGTGCTATACTGAGTTTTCGACGTTTTCAAAAACTGTCAACTAGTATGTCTTTCATTTCACAACATACCTTGCTGGAACCAGCAGTTTTGACATCAAATAACTAATACTGAACATGAATACCGTTTCAACCATTACACTTTACTATCCAAGTTTACGCTGCGAAATTTTCGACTAAAGATATTTATGGGCCTCAATGTTTTAGTAGTGGAAATAAAAAGTAATATTAATCAAGAAATACAATGTACCTCAGTTTACACATACCTACTCCACAGTTTCGCTTCTGTCTTAGATAAAGTGAAGATGCCAAGTGTGTCACTGGTAAAACTGCAAGCAATTACAGAACTTCTGTGTCCAAAACTCGAAACACAATTTAACAAGCGGACATTTGGACACTTTTTAGTGAATGTAATCGATGGTTGTAAGGTTTGTAATTTAAACGGAGATAAGGGAATCGTCAACTGCATCTCCTCTAGCATATTATTCTTCAGCGCACAAACAAACTGACAAAGAGAAAATGACAGAATCCATAGTAGTGTTGAGTATTAACAAATAGTATTCAAAAGGAATAATAACAATTGTCTTATGAAAACATACACGAATAAGGCGTTTCTGTGATTCATTATCAGTGATCAGTCGAGGTGCCAGAATATCACAACTGCTCGGTTTAGCAGACAGGGTAATCCTCAAAATAGGACGTAATTCATCTTCAACATCCAGCGTCACATTAGACGGATCCATTCCTTTTCTAAAAACATGTGGAAGAATAATGAGTTGAGTAAGCAATACAGCATTGTTTGAACACCCTATAACATAATAACTTATGGAAACCATTTCAGTTAGGAGGAAATACAACGCATATGTATTTTTAGGAGTCCATAATGATTGCTAGATCCTCCTACTCATGTAAAGATTCAAGCAACATCTAGAAAAAATTGCACAACTTACCACCACCATTAAAAAAGGTACGAAAGACTTTAAATATTCAAAATCTATAACAATATTGCTCACAAATCGTCGCAGAACACGAAGGCGGGTGTTAACATAAATCAAACAGATAGTTTTCCCGATGGTTTGTATTCTGAAATAGCTTACTGACCTTAATATGACTACAGAATCACACAACTGATGTTTATGAAGCTGAGTTTGAAGAGATTCGTTTAACTAGTTTGTGAACATTGAAGATCGCGAACTCCCTTATAAGCTGTGGTAAAGTGGTTTGTGTGATAACAAACGGTCAGTATGACTAGCATGCCAGGATCTTTCATCAGGTAATAACTAATAAACGCGTCATGCCACATCAGTGAAGCTTCAAAAACGAACTCAATATACTCAACGATAAAAATCATAGTAACTTTCTGAACTTGTAGTCAACGAAACAGCTAAAAGAGATGATAAATCAGGAAAGTAAACAGATGCATTTCACCGAATTACTTGAGGGTATTTCGGCTTTAAACAGTAGCTAACTCAGACCCATGAGAGAAAAATTCATATGCTAGGAAGCCTTTGTTAGGTGTATTGTGAAGAAAATTATTTGAATCACCCAATTATTTAGTCTGATACGATCCTAGTATTCGATGGCATAAGTACCTGCATACCAGAGCTCCACAATCACTTTCTTAAGCTAAACTATCGTTTAAAGTTAACCTCGCCTCAACTTGGTTACTGGGACAACCAGTAAGTCTCGAATTCATAATCCAATACAACCTGATCACTTACAAGTTTGTGTGACCGGCTTTGAGCCATAAGTACAGGGAGAGATAAAAAAGCATTCGAATAATTAGATCAATGGACAATTTGTTCAACAAATGATTCTAAATAACTATCTGCAGATAAATAGGAATCATAATTTCTATGAACAGTAGAATCCAAAAAAATTGGTTCACAATAATCTTTGAGCTAATGTCAAGATTTAAGCTAAGTATTTGTAAGTATCATACGACAAAAAAGACTGTATCAACTTACTCCTTAGCCTTTTTAGTCTTTTTGCGCAATCGTTTCGCCTTTGCTTCTGCATCGAGAAGTTGGAAGATTTCAACGTTTCGGTCGAAAGACTACGTAAAATAAAGTGCATAAGTCTACTGTAAAATAATTTACAACACTTATGAAATAAAAAGTGGGTTGTACATCCTTTAAGAAACATTTAATATTTCTCTTTACGAGTTATAGTGGATTTAGAAATATGGTATCATAATCAATATCAAAGTAGCACCAGACATTAGTGCAAGTTATGACCCCTCATATCAGCACATCAAGTAACAAAGCAATGAGATGAAAGATAAAGAAATACAGAAGAATCCCTCAAAAGTAAAAAACTGTTAAAGAAGAGGAAGCAGGAATACGAAAATACTGAATTTAGTAAGACGATTAGGATGATGGTTTCCCTTGTCACGTGGACGCTACTCGGGAAGTCCACATTTCACTACGCGGCTCAGACCAACAATCAAAGATTTCATGCACTCATGACGCGTATCACTTTGGCCATTTCTAACTTTATACAAGCCCAAACCAACTTCAGATGACATTTTGCTGCGATGCAGATCGTGACTAGGCTAGGGCATGGGTCAAATATGTCCCAGACACCTGAGCCAATGGGGATTCACAACCTTATTAATTAACTTTACTCTTCTCTCTAAAACTATACACCTGAGTTGTACGTTACTGACGCAGTGACACTATGACAAGCGGTCTGTGATATGAAGGCAACGGTAGTCAAACACCTGAGGCTTTCTCATCTTTTTTACATTTAATGACCATGTTCCACAGCCATAAAGCAAAACAGGGCTAACTGTGACGCAGTATACTCGACCCTTAATAGACAATGGGATGACATGACTGCATCACAGATGGCTTTTAAAAGACGAGCGTAATCATTTCCCTTTACGGACTAGTAGCATGAATTACCCGGCGACTATATACTGAAGATCAGATGGCCAGAAGAATAAGCAACAAGGAACTCTGGCCTGACAACGAACCAACCAAGAACCTATCGCCCAACGAATATGCAGAAGCGAAAAGTGGAGACGGATTGGATTGGGCACACACTGAGAAAACCGTTTGGAGACATCACGCGCCAAGCCCTCCAGTGAAACCTACATGGAAAGTGACGAGTTGGGTGTCCGAGGGTGACATGAAGGAGATCGTGTGCGGAAGAAATGAAAAGCTTCTGGGTAGTCGTGGAGCTAGGTTCAAAAGACTGCAGAGAAGGGAGTGAAATGGCTACGTGCTACTGAAGTTCTGTGTTCAACTAGGAAACCAAAGGAACAAGTAGTCATAATAAATGATAATAGTAAAGATATGAAGGAAAAGTAGACGAGGTGTGGAGGAAATTTTTAAATCCCCAAAAGTGTGTAGCTATCTCTTGTGGACGTACGTGATTTGAAAATCAATAAAACATAAAAAAGGATGAGCAGTGGTGTGATTCAAAATTAAATTTTTTCAATCATATCGATTACAGCTATTTAAAAAATCGGTCTAGATGTAAACATGTATACCCCCAACCAATAGCTGCTACCTTGACGTGGTGGTCAGGCTTGCATATCACAATGACCTACAGAGCAATCCTGGTGGAGCACTTGTATCCGTGAGATCCTACTGCGCCAGAAAGTTGTGTTGGATATATCAACAACAAAAAGCAGTTATCGTTAGAGTGTAAGTTATTACGCTACGATACGATACGGGGCGAAGAGTAAGGTCGCACTACTGACTGGATGCCATGCGACAGCAGTAAGGTGATTCCCACAGATGACCAGTGGTATTATGCCGATGCAGAAAGACAAATTCAGTGTGAAACCTTAAACATAAGTGCATGTGTTCAAGCTAAAGCAATGCACAGTGGCACGCAAAGAACAGGTGGATAGAAAAAGACTGATATCAAAGTAAAAAATACGTGTATTGGAGGAGAAACAACTGGAAAATGAAGGTTGGTGAAGTGTTTGAGCTTTAGAAGACGTCAAAAGGTATTGTGACCGATTTTCAGTCATGTAGCCAAGGCTAACCAACCGCTGTCCTCCAATTATCTCAATGACCCCAGTCAGGTAGTCTACACTTTTCTATACGGCTAAGACCAACAATCAGAGATGTCACACTGGTGCCACGTCTTGGTCTGCTCACCCTGAACTCCCTCCCAACCCAACCCAACTTCACCTAGCATGGCATGTCGAGGCAGGCGGTGGTGGCTCTGCATCTGCAACACATGTCCAAGCCAAGTCAGTCCTTGAAGGTTCATAACCTCATCCACTGACTTTTTTTCCTTGTCTGGTAATCCTCAACTAACCTCTGCATTATTCACATGGTGACTGCACTATATCTGAGCAATGCTACGATGACGAGTATGGTCAAAAACCTGTGACTGCTTTGAGCTTCAGGTATTATGTTTGACAGCCACATAGCAGGACAGAACGCATTGCAGAGCAGTATACTTGTCCCTAAACAAGTAGTTGGATATTCTGCCAGTCAGTGGCAAAGATGATGCAAGTTGGAAAGTGTCAAACAAACCTCTTGTATCCAAGCTAAGATTTCCTCAACAATTAGCCCGTCCTAGCTGAAACAACTCTTTTTGATTACTATTAGGACAGCTAACTAGTGATGTGATAATGGTCACCTAAAGATAACATTATCTGAAAACAGAATTCGACTTCAGGGATGTAGTAACAGCGATGAGTGATGCCTACTGGGTTTATCAATGCTGTTGGAAAATAGTCCTGAAAGAAATAGTGTCAAATGCACTTTGCAGTTGAGGGAATAAGTATCATGTTTCACTGTTTTATCGGACACCCAACTGAATACAATTATCGAATGGTATTTACTTCTATTTTAGGCACTGAGAAATGTCTCATGATAAGTAAACTTTTAATAAATGCATGATATCCACCAGATGAAAAATTAGGGTCGTGCCTCATTGTTTTTTCAGGTAATGGATCCTGGATCCAAGTCATATTCAACCCACTTTGGTAACTAAGTAATAAAAAGCTCTCACACAATGAGTGTGGTTCACAGACCAATAAAAAGGCATTTATCACGTTTAGGTCCCAGATAATCAACACCTTAACAACTTTACTGTCACTTTGATCAGTACTTTCGCAGTATAATGATTAAGATTGAAACTACATCTCTTATGCAGACTTCATCTAACACGCTGTTGTAGAAGATAAAAGCTTCTGGATGTAACATTAATTAGTAACACCAAGACTCGTTTTCCTGCTATAATGACGAAGTTTCAAGCAAATTCCGAAAGGTATTTTCACTAAAAGCTGACTTCCAGTGTGCCCATTTCCTGCCAGTAAAGCACCACAGTAAGTCAATCTTGAAAAATAAAAAATGAAAAGATGAAAATTGTTCAAGTGTCGCAGTAACCTAGGTTGCCCTCAAATACAACTCGATATTTTGATCTGATAATCGCTAGTAATTTGTCTTGGTTACCGCTTTTCTTTCAGAACAGCCAAATATTTGAAGAAACACTGAAAAGCTGTTTTTCTTGCTAATATCGACCATTGGATTCCGATCCACTGGCTCAAATGTAACTCTCTGCTTGCGGAACCTGAGGGTCCTGGTTTTGATCCCTGGCAATGTAATGGGTGTGAATTGCTCAGGAGTCCTATACTAGGACGAGATATCTGTCAAGTGCTCCCAGATTTCTAATGTTTCTCCACCTGATATCAGTCCCTGATGAATACCAACCTGAAATGAATAAATAAGTCCCCAACAAACTTCTAAATTAAACAGACAAGTAGCTGGAATACAATATTTTGAAAAATTAGATTTTAATTCTCATGAAATCAACCAAAGAAATGTAATAGTCCTTGATAAATCCCTGTAGTCTTCGTATGAGTCTAACAATCATATGAAATCAAGTCACCCAATCCCAGCTGACTTTGATGCGTTACCTCTACTGAAAATCTGCACTAAATACGGAAGTCTAGTTTGGTTGTTTTAGGATTCCCGAATAAATGTTCTATGACTATCATATCCTCAGCATCGCTTCGACCCCATCATTTCAACAGACCACTGTTCACCTTGACAATATCGCACACGTTAAGCTTGAGCATGCCAGTATTCAACTCCAGAAAGATGCTTTATACATACGGAAACTGATGTTATACAAATTACATGCTTCTTGCTTTAAATATTGAAAAATAACCACAAAAACAGTAGTTCTTCGTTAGTAATACCTGACATAATAAATACGTTCCAGTGGGATCAAAAGCCAAACAATGGACGCGGCGGACGCCAGAACGCTGAACACAACCAAGAAACTGTGCGCTGATTTGAAATTGAGTTTTGTCTAGGGGAGTTATGATTTCATTACCGACTGGAGCCGTTTCAGAAGTGCGCGTTCCATACGAGTCGTTTCCGCTCACCTAAAAACAGGAAGCAACCGAATAAGTCTAGGAAAACAATGAATATTCACTTAAGTAGACTGTGATACGCCAAATAAGGTAAGCTACGCTAAGCAGTTTAAAACAATGATGATTCACAAATGAGTGTTTTAACATGACTTACTGCGCTACATGGTGGAATCACGTGTCGATTTTGAGGCGTTATGCTAGCTGAATTGGGATAAGTACATGACTGATGCTGATTGTTGATTTCAGATATATATGGGGAAGTGGGCTTCCCCCTTAGGGTTAACCAGACAATCGATGTTGACGGTTGGGGAATCCATCCATATGATTGAACTCAAAATCGATTGCAGTGGTTTAGATGCATCTACAAATTATCTTCATCTTAGTCATTATGTTTCCTGGCTTTGAACGGACTCTCATGATAATATTTCTTTTTCGCAGTCTTTTATCTTTGTGCTTTGCATCATGATTTGCTAATGCAAGATATGTCAACTTGGAACATGACACAGCAGTGTAAAGTTCTGTGTTGATACTGACTAACTGCGACATCAAACGATGAAGTTTTTGGCTACAGGAAGCCTTGAACCTGAATAGTCATTGACAGGTAATGAATCATCGTTTCACATTATTCGTAACTCGACACAAAAACTGTCACACTAGTACAACTTCCTTATTAATTTCGTAACTTCGGACATTTTTTTATACTTTCATATAGCTTTACTCTCATATAACTTTTATTTGCCTCAGTATCTCTTTCCTATTCGCTTCCACTCTGAGTGCTTCCTTTAGGTGCGACAACTTTGATCGACACTTCTGGGTAAAGTGAGAAACTGGCTTATCCGCTCTGGATGTTTCATCATCAAGCTTGATGAAGTGACTAGCACCGACTCAATAAATACGTGAGAAGAATATGATGAATATTTAGTCAGTATTGTTGTTTACCCATAATTCCACTTCTCATATCAGGAAAACCTAACCTTAAACAGATTTCAATTCTTTGTGAAGTTAAGACAAATGATATTTTAGTTTAGTAAAAATCAGAACAAAGCGTTGAAATATGCTACTGAAAGATATGTATAGTCAGAAACCATACACGCTGATCTGCAGATTTTGGTAGTCAGACCACAGTGATCTGAACATCGAACGGAAGTTTTGCTTATTTAAGGTCAAGTTTATCAGCAGTGTACCCGGGCAAGTTCAACTCAGAGTCGAATTATTTAAACCAACTGAATCTGGCTAGCTAACTGACATGGACCGGTACACCTTTAATAGGATGGAAAAGTTGAAAATAATTTACAAATTGCGCAGTCCATGCTGATATTTCGCATAGCTGAGTAGTTTTTCAGCTGCCCAACTGTGATGTAAACAGAAAGAGCGTTAAAAGCCATCCATCCAGAATCACAAAGTGTGATTGCTGATACGAAAGTGTCATTAACTATAGGCTCTAAACGAGCGAAACGGCTGTCCCGTGCTTAGATCACTTTGACCGGGCTAGAGAAAGCTACAGATCAGTCTGAGTGGTTTTCAACTAGTATATTTCGATTGTTTATGACATTTTTGTATCACACATCACACCTTGTGATATCGGTTGAATGGATTCCAACAGATACTGTTTACACCACAGTTTGGCAGTTGGAAAACCAATCGGCTATGGGGAATGTCAACGTGGACCATGCAATTTGCAAATCACTTGTAAACTCATCGTCTTATAGGAAAAGAAATGGTAAAGCAAATAATGAAATTCGGTATGACGATTGGTATAAAGATAATGTATGGATAGATCTGCGCCAGTTGAGTCAGTTCTGAGCTACACCATCTGAATTCTTCAGTCACCAACTTCGACTGTCATGAGGACATCATTCTAGAAGGCTACAATCCCGTCAAATGGAATGATGTCACGTCTTAGTCTGGCCATATATTAACTTTTTCGAGTCTAAAGCTACTTCAGTTAACATTGTGTGTCTGGACAGACGGTGACTAAGTAAGCATAAAATATTTCCTAAATACTTGTTTTGATATACCAACTGACTCGTATCTTTTGCCCAAAACTCTATGTTGCTAAAGTGGTGGTTCCATGACACGCAACCAATGTAACGAAGGCAACGGTGGTCAAACACCCGAAAAATTTTCATTTCCTCCATCTTTAGTGGCAAATATTCACAGCAATGGGGTAGGACAGGAAGAATTCCTGCCCAATACATCTAGACATCACCCTGGTGGCAGAAATGGAGTAGGTTGAGCAAACGCCAAGTGAGCATTTTGTATCTGGCCACTGACTGACCAGGACTGACTATACTTCTCAGTCAAGTGAATTGATTAATGCATTCAACTATTTTACTCTCTATTCTCAGACCAGGTAGTAACGCAGACCAGTTCTGAAGCAACGGTTTGCGTTCGGGTGGTCAGAAACGCAGAAAGCATTCGCGAATGGTTGCTAAAGGTATCCAGAAGAATCCGCATCTTTTCAGAGTCTTCGTCACAAAGGACTAAATTATATGTGTTCTAGATCTACTAACGAATCTTGTTACGAAGTCAATCTCTGTAAAATCAAACGAGGAGGGAGACCTTCATTGGCACACCTATGACAAAGGTAAGTAAAAATGAAGACAGCTAATACCTTGACCGTCACTACTGCATTAAGATATCCCATCCAATATGTTACCACGACCTCTAACAAGCCCACAGGTGTTTTAATACAAAGCCGTTGGTAGAGTGATGAGCTTACTGGGTACCTTTTTCAATGAACGGAGTCCAATGAAGACTTCCGGTCATGAAATATAACCAGTGTCTGGCTACGCATCTGTTTCAATTTGTAGTATTTGCATTTCGGAACGTATTTCCGTCAACTTGTTTTTACAACATTATTTTGGCCGTTATAAGAGTCAACACACTTAAACCAATGACAAAGGAATACTATTACTGGAACTTCAGGAGATATCCGCTGCAGATGTCGGTTATCTCAAGTGATATCCTAAAAAACTACGTGCAAACCTAACTTTTTTGATGAATTACATACTGGATCCACATAATTAATACGCCAGACTCGCAAGTTTTGGTCATTAGATCCACTGACAAGTAGTTCATCTTGATGCGTGAGTGCAAAATCCCATACGGGTCCCGGGTGTCCTGTCAATGTAGCAAAGCAATGTTGAGCTTTTAAGTCCCAGAATTTGATAAAGCTGTCTTGTGCACTGAAAATAAAACAGAAAATAAATTATGTTGTAAAACATCATAGTATGCAAGTTACAAGATGAACATGAAATGATACTGAAAGGAGCATAAAACACTAACAACGTTAATATAATTTTGATAATCATCTTATAAGTTGATATACAATAGAAGTTGATCCAAAAGTATACCATTACTGACTTATCAAACCTCATGATCACAGAGTAAGTATACCTGGTACAAAGAAGGTAAAGAATACAGTAACGAAAAGGTCGGGAAAATATAAATTCGCCTACATACTCCGAATATTTAAGTTTTCAATTCTAACAGCTGTCGAAACGTGTCATCACTTGTAATAGTCAGGTACAAATTCGGAATTTCAAAATTAATACCTATAACGGACCCTAATGAAAATATACGGCAGCTATCAACGTAGAACCTACCTAGGCGCTGCAGTGACGGATCAAACATTTTCAAAATCGTGGATAGTTTTGAAACCGATAAGTTATCACACAATGTGTGGAATCATTACTGAATGAAAAGCTTGTAGGAATATGGACAACAAATAGTGTCCGGGACATAATCCAGTAAATAATACTGTTTCACTGACACACCTATGAAACAGACTAAAATGGAATTAAAATTCACCACAGTGCCCAAGTTTTACTCCCATATTAATGCATGAAGGGCTATTTGAACAACCCCATCGTTAAATAAAAACATACACTGCCAATAGGTATAGCCTTTTGCTGGCGAACGTTTAGTCAGTCGTGCGTAAACACATGAGCTAGATGCAGACGGTGGTCAGAAGTTATACAAGGGTTTTGATAAAAGTGAAAATCCCCAGTAATTTATTCAAAACATAGACTTCATACAGGTGATACGTCGGCTGCGACAAGGTTAGGTAGGCACTTTGAAATCTCCATAGTAAAATTTCGCACCATTACTTGCGTGAAATATCGTTGAAACACCCAAAACAAAGCAAGTAGCAGTATGAAGAAACCATACTACAACCATAGTGGATGAGAGTTCTAACGACTTATCGAGAAATGGGGTGGTGTGTGTTAAATTAGGCTAATTTCCTAACACCGTAAGGATATTAGCCTAATATGAAAGTATCAGGTGTAAAAAACTTCATTGTGATCATTTCTGATCTTCGTCTGTGAAACATAACCACTCTTGACTGAGGATCCCATAAGACCGCATGTTCAACTACTGTTATCTTTAAAGGATTGCATATATTGGGTGCATGCATCGTGTAAGTAACTTCCAGATGAGTAGGTATCTGCAAGATAGTCATCATCATCCAATGATAATTAACCTCGAAAAAGGCTAATAAAGGCTTCAAAGTGTACTACAAATATTATCATGGCGGATGCAATACTGTTCATGTTGTCAGGCTTTGAACTAGACGGAAGAAGTGAGATAACCAGTGTACAAACATGCTACAATAAGACTAAAACAGTTGTTTTTGGATAGCATCTGCTGCTGCACTAAGACTCTCCTTGTACAGGGTCCCAGAAAATAAGCAACTTACTGGCTCGAGGCAGCACCAGATACGACTCAGACTAAACCAGGTATAATGATGCTGCAGCTCCCTTGCTTTTTCTGTCACAGACAAGTGAAACGAACGTAATGGTCACTTTTTTCAAAATTCAGGTCTCTGGACAACTTCAGGAGTATGCATGGTATCAAAAGTCCATACCGCATTTGATCTTTCGTTATTCTACAGCCTGTGTGCAACAATAATTTGGAATCAGGATTTCTGAATTTTTTACAAGTGGAATCAATGCAGTGATAAGTCATGCACATCGGTTTTCATCTACAAACTTTGTATGGACACGCCTTTAAAGTGGATGAAGTGAGTGACTACCAAAAGAAATTATAAATGCAAAGTTGCGTGAAAACATTTCATAACAGTTATCTCTGCCCAATTTTGACTAAGATATTCGTACCGACAAACAAGTTCGTAACCATATCCAGATCCCTGCACTAGATCACAAGCTACACCTGTTGTGACAGTACCTAGCTGCCTGGACCTCTGTAGGTGCGATAAGGTTATAACCGGTGACCTAAGCGTTGAAAGTCAGTAAACAGTAAACATTAAAAACGTAGGTTATCACCGCAGATCGCCTCCGTGTGCTTGAACCGATGCACTTCAGTGCAAAGTTCGATGATGATGTCTGTTCGTTTGGAGTTCATGATGAGCTTTGTGGGTAAGTGTCAATCTTCTTTCAATTCTTGTTTGTTAAGGTGGTCAGGAGTATCCGATTCAAGTCAAATTTAGTTCAATAACTTAGGTCCCAGATCTTAAAATATAGGACTAATGACTCAGATATAATATGGCTATTCCCATTTCCAAACTGTCTTTAGGCTTTACACAAGAAGTATCGATCATGTAATAGCATACAGATATCCCGGTACACTGAATTCGCAACAAGCGTATACAGACAGGCAAAATCAACGTAGAACCTCACACACAAGTGCATCGCTCCGACTTCACACATTCCATAGCAGCACATAAAAAACAAGTGGATGGGAAGAGTAACAACAAAATAGACAAAAGTGCATGAAAGGAGAAAAAATTTTAAAAATAGGTCAGTGAAAATATTGAAGCTTTAGAAGACGTCAAAGAGTGAATACATCTGCTCCATTGGGACCGGTTTTCAGCCATGTCACTAACAGTTCTCAAACACTGATTCCCACCGTCTCGGGGCTGCATGTGGATAGACTAAACTTTCCTACACGGCTCAGACCAAGACAAAAACGTTATGCACTAATGCCATGTCTTGGTTTGGCCACCCTTAATCTCTGCCCAATCAAATCCAATTTCGGTTAGCATTGCATGTCGAAGTAAGCGGTGACTCCGCATGTGCAACACATACCCAAGCCATGTCAGTCTATTAGGATCCACAAATTCGTCAACTGACTTACTTAGCTGGTACCCTACATCTAACATTGATATGACTCACCCGTTGAGCAATGCTACGAATTCACATATGATCGAAGACCTAGATCTCATCAATCTCACCTTTTTTCAGCCTCCAAGTCTCAAAGCCATATAACAGTACAGAAAAACTGCAGCGCAGTACAGTCATCGTTTAATATACAGTCGAATAGCTCACTGGCTTTAGAGACTATATAGATCAGAGTAAGTCAGGACAGCCTTCTAATCCGAGCTCAGAATTCGCCAAAAAAGCTGATTCAAACCAAGCAATACTTCCCGTCAAATAACTCCATATCCTTAAACTAAGAGTAACTACAGAATAGTCCTCAACCATCAATATTACACTTGACAGAAGAAAAACCAATGCCACCTTAACATACTCAAATTTATGCTGAAGACATCCAGATAATTCCGCATTTTGTCAGTGCCTTTCCCTAATAAGACAATGTCATCTGCGTACTCCAAGTCAACCACCTACTCTTCATGGAGTAAACCAATACCGGTAAAGTTGCTGGCGCCAGGGGTCCTGTCCATTAGCACGTCTACGGCAAAGTCAAACAGCAGTGCTGACACAGACTGTCATTCCTAAACACGTTAACTCTCCATAAGCCATCATACGACTGCATCAGTTCGAGTGGGCAACTTTGATTAGCATTGCATACTTACTCAGTACCACCTTCACAGTCAGACTACTACAACACCCCGTCAGTCGACAGAGTTGAATGTTACCTGTTCCAGAACCTGTAGGAGAATGAACGTCTGATCGATGCACTCTTATCCGGGACTGGAATCTGCTTGGTTTTCTCGAGTTTCAGTCAAACGTCATATAACTATTGGCGCTCGGATTTTAGAAATTATGCTAGGACGATTGATCACCCTATGGTTTTCACAAAAGACAATTATTAAACAATTCGGGGCTGAAGCAACTGATTACACTTATGGAACTGGACACACGACTTTCAGTCAGCCTCGCACGCCGGGGTCTGAACAACCATATAGTTATTTCTTTTTGTATCCAGAAAGCGACTCACGTTCAAGTGTACACACCTATACAGGATCTCTACGTTACAATAATATCTGCAACCTTACTTCCAGATGATGAACTGAAGGAACTGATCTTGTAAGTCAAATCTTTTAGGTTATCATGCAATAAGCAAAGGCCGTAAATCTAACCACGAACGTTCTTCCTGGAATATCAGATGAGTATGTCAAAAGTAAAAGCTAAAAAGTTGTTGGTAATAGATGAAGTCTTTCGTTGTAGCGCGAGAAAACATTATTTGTTGACATCACAATTGTACACCATTGTATATGTCTTAATATGATCACAGCGTATCTAGCTATATCATACTCGGCGATCAACTTCTTGCAGGACGTCTGTATCAACTATGGTCTGGATGTTTATAACGCATCAGCGTTCTTCAGTATAAAAAATTCGAAGAACGGCTAGTGACTTTTCAGCCCCGCATATGTATTACTCGGATACACAAAACGTAACAGCCAAAAAGAAAGTAAAGGTATGTGAGGGAATGAAGTATCATACATAAGAATTGTCTACACCATCTTGAAAACCTATTAGGAATATTGAATATTCCTTTCTTTTATTTTGGTTACCCTTTTAGATTTAAAATGCATTCGCTAGAAGATGGCTCATTCTGAAGATAGTGCTGATAGTAGTATTTTAAAGGCAATGAAAGCCCGACAAAACCACCCAGTTCCGAGAAGGTAGCACAACCAGGAATAAACAAAAAACCCTGCAACTCAGATAATGATCACAAAAACAAAGCAAGCAAAGACAACGATGTGGTGTGGTTTCATTGCAAAAGCAAACACAATTCAGTAAATATGCCGAAAACTAAAATAAAGACATATACACTTGCAGTAGCGAACCTTAAGCCTACTGAAACGTGTGTATTTGGAAATCTCGAAAGCGAAACGAAGGCTTACCTTGATATAAGGATATGTCTTACAAGTAATATCATTAAGCGAGTGATAATTCCATGATGTCCTTTCATCCTAGTACCAGAACCAGAAACGACGTCAAAACATTAATTTCTGAATCCTACAAAGTAATCGAAAAAGCAACACTTCGTACCGCAGCACAAACAAGAAGATCACTCTGAAGATCCATCGATGTGACCCTTGTACGACCAGCACGAAAATGAACTTCGACGTCACCAGTTTTCATATTAACAATATTTACAAGACCATCAGCATAGCCCACAGCAACTCTTGAGTCGACATCAGAAGTCCCAGATGCCTTAACACACGTGATAGGAGAACATCCCGACTCTCTAGAGAAGATGTGAACCTGAAAATAAAAATTTGTTATGCCTACTTTTTCTGAAGTTCTGAGTTTCCATACAACAGCTAATTCACCTGTGCCACACAGGCAGTAATCCCCAAACTTGTGACCTCTGTCAGATATGTAGCTCACTTTCGAAGAATCACTTGCGATTATTCCATAAGTTGCACGCGGTTTATATCTCTGGTATGTATGTGTAACCTTCATGGGTAGCGTTAACGTCAGAAATACCCTCCAAACACAACCTACCATCTTCAAACCTCAAACTTCGTGCTGTAGAATTAGTGAACGGCGGTTCTTTGGGTTCTACGTCTATCTTATTGGAATACGTTCTGAGGTTGGAATGGTCACGATTATCTTCCTGGTTCTGAAAAACCTGAAAGGATACAGACATGATCAATTAATTAATCTGGTCTCAAGTTAGTATTACTGGATCTGATCTGGGGAAAGCTTCTCGGGTATAGCCCATCGGTACCTTAGGACTCGAGGTATGCGTCTAGCCTCCTTTTAAAAGTATCAAGGGATGGGGCTGTAACAACTGCTGAAGGGAGGGAATTCCACAGTTTACAGACTCTAACTTCAAATGAGTTAGCACGGATCTTTGTACGTGCTCTCTCATGCTCTATTTTTAACGGGTGACCCCTCAAGTCGCGTTTCCGACTGAAGCTTAGAAAGGGTCTGTTGGGGTGGAGGGGATTAGGAGCGACGTGATACATCATGATCATATCCCCTCTGATACGCCGGCATTGTACTGGGCGCAGTTGGCTATGTCCTTTTTTAAGAATGGGGATATCATAAGCGAATTTTTTTCTAGATGAGGGCGAATGTGCAGAGCATACACTGTGGTGAAAAGAGAAGGAATTAGACACCCTAAACTTCGCGAGAGAAACCCCAGGATTCCATAAGCCCTATTGGCTGCAAGGCGACAGTGGACTGATGCTCCTAGTGTATCATTTAGTGTAACTCCCAGATCTTGTTCCATGTTAGAGTGACAGATATTTATTTCACCCAGAGAGTAAGAACTGGGACTGCATTTATGTTTGTCGACCACCATAATTCGACACTTCTTCGAGTTGAGAGGAAGCAGGTTTTATATAGTCCAATTAAGGATTTTCGTAAAGTCCTCCTGGAAGACTGAAAAATCCTTTGGCTCTTGTATTTTTCTCCAAATCTTCAGATCATCGACACATAATAGTGAATGTGAATTAAAGACCCCTGGTGGGTCACTGATAGAAGCAAGAAACAGCAGTGGGCACAGTATAGAACCTTGAGGCAGACCACTCAGCATCGGAAAACAATTAGATAAAGAGGAGTCAACCCCAAATGACTGCAGCTTGGCGTACAGATAACCTCTAAGCCAAATTAATAATTTTCCGCGTACACCCATGAGCTGGAGTTTCTTACAAAGGATGTCATGGTTTACCCTGCCAAAGGTCTTAGAAAAGCCAAGTAAACCGATGTGTATAGGATTTTTCTTCCCGACAGCTATTCCGAGCTATCAACAAGTTGGTGTTACATTGCCTTCCTGGCAGAAAGCCATGCTGACCGTCGTTTAGGATTGATTTCTGATGTAAGCGATCACGAAGTGAGTCATTTATGACTCTCTGCATGACCTTCGCGACTGAAGAGATCAGGGAGATTGGTCTGTAGTTGGAAACAGGTAGTTTGTTTCCACCTTTATAAATTGGGCCGACAGCCACCCGTTTCCAATCGGAGGATAACCTGCCTTCCAGAATAGAACATTTGAAGTGGTTTGTTAGTGGAGGCACAGAACTTCAGCACACTCTTTGAGTGCTCTTGGGTGAATCCCATCGATTCCTGGAGACTTATCCGGGTTCAGTTTCTTTAATATTTCTATAACTACAGAGGGTTTAGACTCCATATGGCTTAGTCCCTCTGTGATACGGGTGTCCGACCTATGCGCGATTTTGCCTCCCAAATGACGGAAGTTGTTTTGGAATTCATGAGCTAGTAGTTTTGCAACCTCGTAGTTGGAATAGAGAATCTCCAAATTAATGGGATCCTGTAAACTAAGTGAACTGTTACTCTTCTGTTTCATCAGCGAGTACAGTATTCCATGATTCTCCTCCAGGGTTCTGCAAAGTTGTGTCTAAAGGTTTGGTCTGTCATTTCCGATTCTTATTGCCCGTTTGTTACCGATATCGTTATAACTTAGCCAGCCAAAAGGGCCACTAGTGCACGTCCATAGATTCCAAGATGACCGTTTGCGCCGTGTTAGTTTGCGCGTGCTTGACTTAATCGGGGAGGAGTGGGACTTGTTCATTCTTCTTGGGATCAGAAGAGTGTTGTCTCTTATTTTCTGGAGGATTATATTCTTCAACAGATCCCATCTAGCATCAACATCCAGTAGTTCATCACAACTTAAGCAAGCGGGACCTTCTAGGCCTTGCCGAACCCTCTTGAAGTCAGTTCTCTTGCAATTCCTGACTAGTGGCTGATCGGGAACGGGTGGCTTAGATACAGAAATATTGAAGGAGATAACTGGACGATCATTCGGGCCAGGAGGGCAGAAAACATTCAAGTTGCTTACCCCAATGAACTGATTTGTGAAGATATAATCTAGTCGGGATGCCTTACCGTAAAGCCCCCAGCGAGTACACTGGGAAACATGTTCCGTCGAGGAGTTTTCCAGTAACAATTCCCGAAAGTCTTTTAAAGCAGTAAATGGACTTTCTGTGGTAAGGAGTTGAGGAAAGTTAAAATCTCCCATAATCAGGACCTGTGGGAAGTTCAGTTCCACGGTTCCTCTAATGGACTGTATTAACATTTTATTTAACATGGCATTAGCTACAGGAGGGCGGTATAAGACCCCAACTAAACACGGACCTCCGCAGCACTTAATGCTACACCAGAGGATATCTTTACGGCCAATTCTATGAGATTGAATCACATGGACTTTCAAGAAGGGGCAGGTGTAAAGAGCAGCCCCACCTCCTGGACCCTCCGGTCCAGGTGATTCATACCTTGTGATGTGAAAACTTTCGTCCACATTTCCATCCTTTCCATGTGACAGTGCACGCTTATCTTGTGGCATAATCTGATTTTATAACTGAGTGAAGAGAGACCTGAATGCATTCAAACGCATTTGTTATTAAAACCATGTTAGACGGTATGGAGAAAATTTCTTCCAGGCTGCTCCCTAGTTTGAATGTAGGAAGCCGTTGCTCCTGCCTACTTAGGCCCACCTGCACATAGGGGAGAAATGTCAGAATCACGAGGAGAGAAACAGCAAACTCGTGCTTATATATTAGGCCGGAATGCAGTTGCAGTTGTTTGGCCTCCAGTTTCCAATTTCGGGACAAAATATATGGACAAAACAAAAGGAGTATCGGCGGAGCCACCAACACCTTCGCAGTAGCAGATATGTTTGTCGACAGCTAGGAACACGTAGCTTTATGAACACTTAACCACATCCCATATATTGGCTGTAAAGTGAAGTACGCAGGTGAAACTGGTGGATTGAGATCATTTAGATTATCCAAACAAATGCATTTGTCCAAACGTAGAATGACGGACCCCAATAGCATGAACAATTTCGAGAAAACTCTGCTACATAATACATACATTAACACCCAACCATATGAGAGAGTTCGATAAAACCATTGCAGTCTAGTCCAATGCGCTTATTTAGAAAGAAGGCTTGGTTACTGAGTCCTTTTTCATCTACTTAACGCCCAGTACATGTAATGCGATGTTTCTGTTTAAAGGACTCAGGTAAAATAACCGAAATCAGTTTTGTGGGAACAACGAAAAAGAAATGACAGATCTGGCAAAACAAAATATTCACTTACACTCATCCTAGTAAGTTAAACTAACTGCTTGTTTCCACATTAGCGTTAGATCTTGGTCTTGAATATTTAAAATATTTTATATCACAATAAGTTCCTTATTTAATAGTTCACGTTTCCAAAGGCGTACACGTAGATCTGCCATGCAGGTACTGTACCTCCAACCTCCTGATGGCAAATGATCACTGGGCAGCATGCTGGGATCTCAAAGTCCCGGTCCACGCCACTTTTCTGGATTTCGCGAAAGCCTTTGACACTCTCTCACACACCATCCCAATGCACGAGATAGCTGGGTTAGTATCCACGGCCAGGCGCTATCGTGGCTGAAGAACTACCTAGACAGAAGTGAGTTCTGCACAAAAGTCAACAGGGTCCACCCAACTTGGTAACACCATCGTCGGGTGTCTCACAAGGAGGAACCCTTGGTTCATTGTTGCTCCTACCTACCGCTGCATATTAGCCCTCCGATTCTCCTCTACGCTGATGATGCCAAGTTATGGAGGGCAGTAACTTGCGAAGCGGAATCGAGTGCATTACAGAACGACCTCAAAACACAAGAGGAATGGGCAACAAATAACCAACTGGTGTTTAACCTGGATAAGCGCCGGTCCATGTTTTTCCGCACTCCGATCCCCAGAAAGTATCCCACTCTCTCTGTGGTTCACGTCTAGCCCATACCACATCAGAAGAAGACCTGGGTTTAACGGCAACGGAGAAACTGGACGCCAGTTCAGTTACTCAGGTGACGCCTCAAAAGCAAACGTGCACTGCACTTTGTGCGCAGACAACTGGGTGCCCTTACCCCAGAGCTCTCTCTGAAGCTCTACAAGACTCACATTCGACCCCACTTGGAGGTCCATAATGTCTTCGTTTAATTTGAAAGAGGCACGAACCTACTGGA